GTCACTATAATTTTTCAAAAAATCCATGAATTGATTTAAAATTTTGCAGGTAGCTTTTTAATAGTAATAGGAATCTAAATAAATTTTTGTTATAACATTTATGGTTGATAACATATGATGCAAATGGGTTGAATTTCATTTGTAACAAATTGGAGTTTCCCTGTCCCGGGAACGTTTCGCGGTTATAACGGGAGGCTGAAGAGGATTTGTGCCCTGTCGGCCGGTTTTCAATGCCGGAAGCGGCCCTCTCTCTTCACCCTCGGCGTTTCTCTCCTCCTTTCGACTTCCTCTCGTTTGTACCAGCATTTCTTTCCCTGGCAACATCTGTCGTCCGTCTTTTCTCCTCTGACTCCGTCTCTTTCTCTCCACTTTCTCGCTCCCCTTTATTCATATTCGCTGCCTCTTCCCTCCCTCTTTGTTCTTTTTCATTTCCCCCGATAACATCTGTTCCGTTCGAACGAGTCTATTGCCAAATCGGCTTTGCGAATTCCTACCGGTTCAATGTTCGCTCTCCTTCCCTATTCAATAGACGTTTTCACCGAAGATGTGCCAGTAACGTCGCGTCGATTAAGCTCCGGAAATCTCGTCTACTCACACGCGCCAATGTATTTGTTTTCAATAGGAATTCCGACGCTACGATAAACCACGAGGACCTCGTGGATAGGAAAATAAGTCCGCTCTCATTGATTCAGTTTTGTTTAGCATTCTTCGAGCTTCCGTATTTATTTCTGTATTTAAAACAAGCGACCGTCAGGGGATCCTACGTTTCGAATTATTTTCGTTACGTCGTATCTCGAATTTCTTCGCGTAACTCATTCATCTCCGCGCGCGCGCGCGCGCGCTATTTTTAGCTAACCTGTTTCATTTTTTTCTTCTTATTCTCCAACACGCACAGGCCCACTGATATTTGACCATGAATTAATTGCATTCCCTCTCTCTCTCTCTCTCTCTCTCTCTTTCTCTCTCTCGGTTCTCGTTGACCACTTCCTCCTACGCTGCACGTTTTTTCTCTCTCATTTTCATTCATTCGCTCCCACTCGCACGAGCTCCGCGACCCCCTTTTACCTTATTCCGGCGGATGGGTATCACAATTCACCGTTCATCAATGAAACATCATGACTAGCTCTCGGTGTCTCGGTGAGTAAGCTCGTTTATCGAGCGGTAGTGCCTTCTAATTGGCCCGCGTTTTTCTTTCCTTTTCCCTCCTGCTCATCGGCCGCCGGTTCATTCATTACGTAAAGGTCATGGGTTTCACCAAGTTTGCGTCGCTTCCCGCCGAGCCTGAGGCACCATTCATAACGACTCGCTTATCTGCTTTTGATCCGGCTGACAAAAACTGTTCAACATCATAAAATAGACGTTAACGAAAACATTCAGCCGAGTATTTACACTGGTTAGTAACGTCGAGGCTCGGCAAACGTCTTGCTTCGATATTGGAATGCAATCGCGCACCGGAAGTCTTAAAAAGTTTATCTTAAAAAATTCTCGTCGACGCGTTCATCCTGTTTCCTTCCTGTCTTCCATTCGTCTTCGATGAATGGTTATCGAAATTTCTTCCTAATCGTAGATACTTCGTCCATTAGCAATTAGTCGTTCCAACGATTATCGCTCTTGTGTTATCTTAATGGGGGGAGATTCTTCGGCGTCTTATTCATAGTTATAACACTTCTAATGGTTGGAATAATACGGTGTTCCGTCGTGAATCAGATCACGAATACAGCATATTTAGAGGGAATCGTAATAGAAAGTTAGATTGAGTTTGAAGCGCGTTAACTGTTCAAGTACTTATCTCGATTACTGTAGCAAAGTTAACCGGAACATCTGATATTGGGAATAATACGGTCATCTGCGATTTATATTTATATCATTTACTTTTTTCTTCATAAATCCGATCTATAAGAATAATATCCTCGAAATTGACATGATTTCAACTTTAAGGTGCGCACGAATATTTACGGACTTCACCGAAATCTGTTCAAAGTTACATGGTAATGAAGAGTTAGATTGTGTTTGAGACCTGCTGACTTCTCCGGAATCTCGATTACTGTGTCAAAACCAACCGAACGGCTAATGAAACGGTTCCCGTCTTTTATTTCCTTGAGAAAAAGATGTGACATTTACGGTGCATCGTCCGAATCAAAGTTGGGATCGCGGAATGGGTTGTTTGTAGGCGCGTTTATTTCTACGCGGCGTGTCTCGGTCGGAGCGGCCAGCCGAATCCGTGCAGCATGCGTCACTAGTTATTTTCGCTATCGAACAAACACGCGTTCACACTTACGACCGGGACCGCCGTATGTATTCGCGACAGTGGTTTATGCTCTACCTCTACCTTAATATTCTGTTTTCTTTCCAAGTACGGAACTCCGTTGCGAGAGTGCCGCGCGTTTTAAGCGCGCGTCACTCGACGCGTGGAAACTTTGATGTTGCATGCATGCCTCCGCGCACATTTTCGCGCTGAGACCGCGGGCTGTTTAGAACCGTCGGCTATTTTTAGTCACGCGGATATGTCCCTTCTTGTTGCAGTACGCTGGAATTCGTATTGGACCGGTCGTTAAAAAGGATGTTATGAAGGCATCCATCATGCTGGAGCACGACAGCCAGTGAGTACTTGATTTTTATCTTAACTCTTCAAGTGTCCGTCAAGAGGATTCACGAAATATATGAAAATTCTGTGAACCTTGCTCATCACTAAATCCAGAAAGAAATGTTCTATTTATGAAAAAGTAACTTGCACGCATCCAAAAAATTAGATCAAGTTTTCCATATTCAGAATTCAGTTTTCTGCGGGTTGGAGGGTTGATAATCAATTACGTTAAAGAGTCGTTGTATATTCTCCAGATACGCAACGATCCTTGCGTTCGACGTGAAAATCGAAAGAGACGCCCAGGAATTGGCCGACTCGCTCGGTGTCAAGATCTTCCAGGCGGACATCATTTATCACCTGTTCGACAAGTTCACCGCGTACAGAGAGGAGCTGAAGCAACGGAAACGTGACGAAAACAAGCACATCGCCGTGTTCCCTTGCAAACTTCGTATTCTGCCGCAGGTGAGATATTTTCTACGAGTCTCTAAACGCAGTTTCCCGTCAGTCATCCACGTATTTCTGAAAGGCAACGCCGGATTACGTTAAGCTTATTATTTAGGATTGACCGGAGCGCAATTATCATCAGCGTCAAGCGGATTGCCATTGCTTAACGACTACCTGTTCCTCTGTTACAGTACATTTTCAACTCCCGAGATCCCATCGTGATGGGCGTGATGGTCGAGGCGGGAATCGTGAAAGAAGGAACGCCACTCTGCGTACCCAGCAAAGACGTGAGTACTCTCTAATTCGAATTCTCTTTCGCTACGCTTTCGTAGACTTCGACCGCGCTGTACATTACGCAGTACGATCTAATGTGAATTGCATGTCATGAGATTTCAAGAGCGAACCAAATTGGGTACCACTTTTTCAAATCAATTAGTGAGGATTCGTTTCTGTCTCTTTTCCTCCGGTGTGCGATTATCAGTGAATTCGAGTCGAAACCTTAAGGGGATTTGGCTCGCGTAGGTGAACTCGTTCCAGGCAAATAAACCGATACGGTTGCTCGTTCGATCGCACTCGAACCTCCTTTTTATTTTCTCAGAACATCTTCCGATTCTTGTATCAAATTGTTTACGCATATTTGTTTAATTCTCTGTATTGTTTTTAATGTGCATGTGTAGAGATTGAAAAATATCGAGTATATCTCGACATTTATTTCTTTATTAACCAGAGTAAATAAAGCAGCTACATAGACCGATATAAGCTAAGTACAAACATCTGATTGATAGAGTTTTGCACTCGTTGTCTTTGGTATTAATTTTAGGTAATCTCTTTTATAAAGATTCAAGTAAACGTAATACATTATTATATTCACCACGCCATGCAGTAATGCCATAGGTTGCAGCGCTGTGAAAAAATTCATAGTACATTTATAGTAGATAAAGATTTTTGGTCGACGATGTTTGCTACTTTTCTAAAAAGAGAGAACATATCAAATAAGAGATGGTAGAAAATTTGATGGGTCAAATATGCGACTCAAAGAAACTTTTGATTGTCAATACTTGTTGTTACGTAACATGATTGTTTCACGAGTGTCAAGTTAGCCTGACTACCGACTAGTCGGTGTGGCTTAGAAAGTGCTAACTTAGATCTCCGATTTACGACGCGATAGAGGCCTCGCGTGGACAGTTGATCCAAGCATTACGTTGGTAGTTTGGAAAATTCGAGGGGGTTTATCGAGAGCGCAGCCGGTCCCATCGGCTTCCTTCTCTCTGTTTCTCGTAGGAGTGAGCTGGTGGGCAGAGCCGTTCTCCGCAGCCTCGCCTTATACGCGGTAGCGCGTAAACCCGTGCAGGTTGCCTAGCCTCGGTTTCGTAGGCGTCGCGATGCCATTAGCAGGCTGCAAATTCCCGGTAAACAAAAATTCCGAGTAGGTATATTTTCTCGCGGAGAGAGAAACACGCCCACGCTCGCCGGTGGCCAAATGATTTACTAGGCAAAACGTTTCGCCTCCGAATAGTGTCTCACCCCGCGAGATCGTTTCGGATTTTCGTGCGTGGGAACGGGTTTGATTTATCGCCGCGTAAGCGTTCCCGACGCCCCGTTTAAACAACATTCAATTGACTCGACAACATTCAATTATTTCGTCAAACTTGAACGCAGACCCATTCTACTGTTGAACGCTGCTTATTTTTCTTCTCTCGTCGCCTCGGACAGACAAGTCGACAAACGTCTCACCGGTCTCTGGCAATTTTCTATTAACAATCGTCGTCGTAGCTTCGCAGACACTAAGATACAGGTTTACAGGCATATACTTGTTCGTAAATCGTGAGTGACAAGCGTTGAAAATGACTCTTTCATCGTTTCCCAATATCCCATTGACACGATCGAAATAGACACGATTTAACGTCACTAAATCTCGGCGTAGAATTCGCGGAGGCAAAAGAAGGAGGCGACGAAACTTGCCGATTCCTTTTGGTTCGCGTCGAACGGTCGAGCATAAATTATCCGATTCAATAATATGTGGGTGATAGCAAAGCGTAAAATCGGTATCGGGCACATGGCGCGCGGTGTCCGGCTGCGTGTGCAATGAACGTTTCTCGCCCGCGCGTAGAAAGCAGCTCCGACCACGTTTCCTTGGCCCACGCGTCCCTTGCGAGTGAACCGTATATGCCATCGGCCCTACCTCTTTCATATTTCGGCCTCTAGCCGAGTTTCACTGATAAAAACCGCCCCAGCCTTTCGGACATGCAACAAGTACTTCCTTGTTCATAAAACTTGTCGTAAATGTTACGTAATCTAATCTAGTTACGTGTCAATTTGTAAATTGTTCAGATTTTGTTATTTAAAGTACGATTTCATTATCACATTAAAACAAATTTATTCTATGAAATATTGCTTGTAACTATGATTTATTTTACACTAGAACTACCGACGATTGACGTACCCCTACTTCTGGAGGG